GTGCATGCGTGCGTGCGTGGCGTGCATGCGTGGCGTGCGTGCATGCACAGTGCGAACGGGCCTTAAACTCGCGCGGCGTTCTCCCGACTCTCTGCGTTTACGTCGTCGGCAACACGCATTCCCGCGCGCGCGGGAAACGCACACGGGATAGAGGAGAGATACAGATATCTCTCTCTCCCTCTTCCTCTCTCTCTCTCTCGGATTGCACACACCACGTGACTGCACGCCGTCCTCCGCGACTTGCATCCGCAAGTCCGCAGCTACCATCGCCGTCGCCACCGCCGTCGGCGAGGATTTTTAGCGCGGATTCCTGCCCGCAAGTTTGACGCGGCAGCCTCGCACGCGATAATTGAGCGGCTCCAAGTGGACGCCTAACTCGCGAATTCTCACGCATTTATATTGATTCGAGGCTGTGGCGAGGATGGGCGACGTGTGTGGTCGGGTACGTAACCGAAAAAAATTTTTCAGAGACAGCACAGGTGTACGTGAACTTAGCAATAACTTTATTAGTCGATTTGCAAAGGTTGCATCTCTTACAAGTAGTTTATACACGAAAAGGGTTATATAGTAAAATGTACTATAAGATTTTGCATCGAGAGAGAAATAGATTTTCTGGGAGTAGATCCTAGATCTTTCGAATAAAAAATCCGCGGAGAATTCACTCCAAAGTGATAATGAAAATACCCGTTGCTCGAAATCGTAGTGAACGTTTAACCCGTACTTCGAGTGGCTTATTAATTATACAGATGAATGTTTCAATCGAGTAAATTTGTTTCTGCGACCGGAGAAGGAGGGAAGGGGATAGGAAGAGGGCTATGTCGGATTGCGAGTGAAAATATTCACTCGACCACTGTGAAGCGAGGAATTCATGGTGTACGAGGGAAAAGCCACTCGATTCAAGTCTGATTCCACTTCTCGAACGGCACGTTCACTCGAAAAAAATCGCGAATCAAGGAAGTGCGGCATGTTTCTCTGACGCACGGCGAGCGTCGCGTCGCGTCAAAGTTCACGCGCGCGCGGAAGGATCCTCGAGGATCGACATGAGCTAAACGAGTTTCGCGCGCGGACACATCTTTCCATGTATAATGAATGTTTTCGCCCCGAGGCACACCGCGTCAAGCGCGATACAAAGTGAGCGAACGTGCGTGAGAAATATTAATCATTGCGTGAGCACTCATGACTTTGCACGCGCGTTGACCGTGATCCTTGGAGCGACTGAATATCGCGCGACTTCCCGCTCTTTCCCGCGTATTTGAATTAAAAAAAAAAAAATGATATTAGTCCGATTGAAGTGGCCGGCTGTGTGAACGTCGGCGAGGTGTGCGCGCACCTATGGCACATAGCCATCGAGGGAGTCGCGAGGAGAGCTCTTGTGAAACGGCGTAAGTGCCAAAACCAACAAAGCTCGAGAGTACGACGCGGCGGGAGGAGGGAACCTCCCACCGCTCGAGATGACTTTTCCTTTTTTCCGCCGTATACGCGACGCGTTTCACGACGATGTCGCAGCGCGACAAAGTGGAGGAGACGCGCGCAACGCGGAGAAATACTCTGCGTTGGTTACGCGCGCGCCAGCTGCGAGCTCCCGAGATCGAGTTACTTCGAATTCGCCGGTCAATTAGCAGGCTATAACGCTGTAACGAAACGCGCGAACGAGATATCCGCGTAAACGCGCAATGTCGAATTCTCTTCCCCCATCTCCCCCCGCCTAACCGTCTCCCTCTTGGCAAGGCCGAAAACGAACGAGAGAAAGGGAGAGCGAGAGAGGCACTGAAAGAGAGAGCTTTATAATTATAAACACTATAATACATTATTAACGTTTTAATTTATGCGTGCCACACGCGTTCAAATAGTTTTCGCCGTATAAACATGCTTTTGTCCTAATGTTTCGTTACGGTCGGTATTTACATTTGTTTAAACGTCATTAAGAGATCAGTTGCGGTGTTTTACAAGTTGTTTTATCGGTAATTAATGATTAGCGATTCATGGGGACCGACAAATTGCGTTCGAATTTCCGTATTAATCGCGCCTTTTGGCGCCATTATTTTCACCGCGACGATTACGACGCTTATCTCGGCTGATTGTACCGAATGAAAATGCAATGTCGGTGATTTTCAAGCTTGCCGCGTGCGTGCGCGCATGCGGAATATGTAAATAGGCTTGTTCGCAAAGGAGAAAAAAGAAACGCTTAGATATATTATCGTCTTTTTATCGGGACGATAAGCTTACCCGTATCGAAATCGGCGATAAGCCGCGTAGTTTCAAACTACTCGAAAGATATCGACCGTTCCTGGTAATTAAAAGCAGCATAAAATGAGAACGCATGAAAAATATCTGAGCAATCGGGAAAAACGGGCGATCTGAACTCGCGTCATTTGAGGAACAACGCATCGCTTCTCTTAGTAACTCGCTTAGTAATTAAGTCATCATTAACTTACTAGTATGTCAAGTTTAGGTTAGATTGCTGAGGAGAGACGAAATAAATTTACAGTCGATCCCGAAACTATAAGGATTTGTTACGTTTAATTTCAAGTTTTGAGCAGAAATTTTGGAGAACTGTGAGAGAAAAATGTCCGCATTCTCAAAAAAGAAAAAAGATATGTAAGCGACAACTATAAGAGTTCTGTATGCACATGGAGAAAAACTACTTGAAAATTTACTTGTGAGATATAAAGTTGAATTTCTTGCTTGTAGAACTAAATTTGAGCTATAAGTTCATTAAGAGCAAACCACATATTAATATAACGAAATTTTTGTTTCCGTATACAAAACTTCTAGAAAGGAATATTTGAAAATTTATTTGCGGAGGGGATGTAAATAAGTTTATTTACAGAAATGAACTTTATAATCCCGTAAATAAATTTTCAAATATTTTTTTGCAGTATACAGTTGTAACTGATATAGTTGCTATCACCGTGTTTTTTTCTCAAAATGTAGGTCGCAATAACAATAAACTGCAAAATACAGATTTTATAGTCAGATTAGGTGACAGATCGCAAAATATAGATTGCAATAAATTAAATCGCAAAATACAAAATGATACTCGTAGGCGAGCACGAACGAACGTGTAAGAATTGCCTTAACAAATAAATTCGAAAGAACACTTCAGCTTGGATTATCCAAATCGCAGAGCGAAGGTCCCTGTCGCACGGACTCTCCTGCTGCTGAATCGTGCGGCTGCAATATAATCGCGCGGCGTGAATCATCAAAAATATCGTTACGTGCGCGCGAATTCCTGCCGGATGAGTTCCCGCTACTAACCTTCGCACTGTCGCGTGTCACAATTGTTTCCATATGAAAAGGAAGTCTTTATACACTACTACTAACGTAAATCTAAACGGCCGGTTCACATTCATGCCCGTGCATGTAAACGCGAGACGCAGTTACCCGATTCTCTGGACCCCCAGAACGATAAAATCGTGTAATCTTTGTGCTAAGCAAAACTCCGAAACTTAGCAGCCAGTTTTTAAAGTCATGAGAAACGCGAATCTCTGCGCGCGCTCTCTCTCTCATCTCGTCTCGTTGCGATTCAAATTGCGTTACGCAATCGCGATGGTAGTGAACGCACGCACATAAGTATTTAAATATTCAGTATAATCAAAAAAGGAAGAAAAGAAAGATGCTGATGACTCTAGCAAAGATGAGCTCGTTAAAACAGAATTAACATCTGGATGAATTCCGGGTTTCTGCGTCATTTGTTATCTTGGTAACATATTCTCTAAATTCCTTGGAGAATTATGCTCAAAACGAACAAAAAATGGCGATATTTTCGCAAGAGTTAACGTTTCAATGGATTAGAGTGAATATGTTCCTCTCTGACAGTGAAATACATTAAAATTCACTCTTCAATTTCGAGTTTTCAAATTTTCCAAAATACTCACTCGATGATGCAAAGTAGAGAAAAATCACTCAAATTCGAGTGACTCAACACTACACAAATTCGAATGAACACTATCGACCTGAACGATTTTGATTTACACCTATCGTATTTCCGTCAATTTTAAAAAAATTTAATATTAATTTTTTGTATAGAACTTAGTTTGCTCACCAGAGGGCGCCAAAGTTAGAACTTAAACTTCCTTTATAACCTTTTCTTTTTTCATTTCAGTTAAAAAAGAACCGCTGAAACGATTTATTGTACTCTTGATGAAGTTGCAGTGGCTCATATAACTTAGTATAAGAGTAAAGGAACTGTCTTCTTTTTGGGTTAGGTTGGGAAACTCTCCCGCGTACTGTGCATTCACCAGTTATTTTCCCTGCAGATTACCATTTGTTTCGATCGCTCTAACATCATTTAGTTAATACGCACTTCAAAACATTGGAAAATGTCCAAAAAGGCATTGATGATTTTATCGATTAAAAACTACCAAGTTTCTATTGCAGTGGGATCTGCCCAATGGCATCGAAAAGGATGGAGACTATTTTATTGATTAAAGTTTTTGTTATACTTTTATAAATGAAAAGTTAAATCGCTTCTCCCATACATGTTTTCCAAAGTTTAAGTCGTTGTCAAATAAAAAGCGGCCGGTCAGATTCAATGAAATTTTCAAAATAATTAGTTTAACTTATCAAAATAATGACAAGACATTTGTCTCATGATCTCATTTTCGGAATCGACCACTTTTTCATGTCTACTGACCCACCATGCCACGGTTTGAAAGATACGTCTCGGTAGAATCGAGTGTCGCGAGAACTTCTTTTCGTTCATTCTTTCGCAATACTCCCTCGCTTTTTTGAGGACACGGCTGCGAAAAGAGATCGCGAGAGATCCGCAACGCGAA